AAGCCAAGTAATTGTGTCCCTAATAAAACACCAAGATATGAACAATGTGGAATGGATGCATGACCATGAATGAACAGAGCGAAGGCATCATTTAAATCTATGCATCAGCATGATGAAGATAAATTAAATAAGTTACAAGAAATTAAATGTTTTCAAGGTACTGGAAGTCAAAACAAGGCGTGTAGAGAAGAGAAAGGAGATTAAACATAACAAGTCAAGTTAATGTACTATCATAAGGCAACGCATAAATCATTTTAAATATTAAATGACACTGGAATGACAACCATTATGCATATCACTTTATACAGGATAGTTATTCAATTTTGCAAGGTCTCCGTGTCATCAAAAGGTAATATTTCAGCGTTTAAGTTGGATGGGATAATTTCACAGATGACAGGTTTTGGGGTGGCTTTGATCATATGAAAAACAAAGGATCACTCCTTATGTTAATCTCAAGTCAGCACAGCCGAAACGGCATTTTTAAACCTGCCATTTGGAAAGATAAAAATACAATGCACACTTTCTTTCAGTCACTTTGGAATAAAAGTATTTCCCAGAAAAACCCGGAGTCAGGATGTTTCTGTGCACTTTGCCTTATTCTACGTACTTTATATCATAACAAAGTGTAGCTGAAATGTCAGTCAGGCATCTTGCCAGAGCTGTTGGGCTGAAAATACCAAAAAAACAATTAAGTAATGTTAAAGCTCATGGAGCTACCTGATTCCCTCCTGAGTGAGAGCGTAACATCACTTAGGTACTTGCACTTTAAAGGAATTCTCACCTCCTTCTGCCTCAACCTTATTACTAGTCTCGATTTTTTTTACTATTTTATTCAGTTTATTTTTTGTGTGCTTGTTTGCAGTGGTCAGTATGGTTACCTCACACCTCTAGGAGCAGGGTTCGACTCTCTGCCATGACTCCATCTGTGTGGAGTTTGCATGTTCTCCCCGTGTCGCTGTGGGATTTCCTCTGGGTACTCTGCTTTCCCCCCACAATCCAAAAACATGCTGAGGTTAATTTGTGTTGCCAAATTACCCATAGGTGTGCCTGTGTGAGTGACTGGTGAGTGAGTAAATGTGTGTGAGTGTGCCCTGCGATGGGTTGGCGCCCCATCCAGCGTTATTCCCTAACTTGCGCCCACAGGCTCTGGATCACCGGCGACCCTGAACAGGAAGAAAATGGATGGATGGATTCATTTATTTGGATTCCAATTACCTGTCCACTCAGACCATTACTTACACTGCAAATTATCTTCAGAAATGAATATAAACATTATTGCACTCTTTGCCGTGGTAAATGAATAAAGCATGAGGCTCGCTTCAAAGCTTTATGCGTCCGGTGGAATTCTTGGTTATTTTTTGCTTACACATTTCAATAGCCTCACACCATCTCATTTGTATTTCCGGATTCGAAGCTACGCATGATCACACTAATCGCCATCATCCAGCAGTGCAGCTTAAGAAACTTTAACCTTCTTCCTGCAGCCTTCAGTGGTGTACCCAAAGTAAACTGGAAAGCAAATGTGACAATTATATGCAGTGTGTACAGTGCACCGTGTCAGTGTGCTTCTAATGCATTAACTGTTGCCCAAGGCTCTCTGTGCAAAAACTCAGCCTGCTCAATACAAATAAAGTCCCATGCAAATACAATTTCTTTCTCAGAATATAATGGGTGACAGTCTCTGTGTTTCATGTCACCACAAATCCAGCCCTAAGGTTTTGCACAACTTGTTTTACATAGTGTTTTAAACTAAATTAAATATGTATGCATGGTTTTTCAATATCTATGTCTGGTTTATTGGCTACAAAATAATACTTCAGCTCAGTTATAGTTGGCTTCGGGATCAAGGGTAAGATCGGGGTCCTTTGTAGGACTTGAACCAGCAACGTTCAGCTTTCTACTTTAAGTCTTTGTTCCAGTTTTTGCAAACTTGGGGCTTTTCAAGCATTTTGTAATTCTGGAAGCCTGCTTCTGAATCTTAGAATAGCTCTGATTCACATGTAGATGCAGAATTAGATTAAAATTAAGGGTGAACATGTTTTAAAGATTCAAGCCAAAACCTAAAAACTGAGATCAAACAATAAGTTTTGTGCTACACAAGGCCACACTTGTTTGGCCAGGTCTACATGCAGTGCCTCTTGTTAGCTTTCAGGGAAATTCTGTAAACATGGTTGGTTTTCCTGCACTCTTCACTGATGTCGTAATTAGATGAGCTGGAATGAAATGAGCCTTCTGTGCTCAGACAGCATGTTCTCCGGCATCTGAGTGAAGGACAAACCAGTGAATAGGGGGGTTTTAGGGGGTGCAGCCAGCAGACAGAGAGGCCCCTGTGATTCACACTGCCAACGGCTGCTTCAGTACAGCTGGCAGACTGCAGTTTGGATGCCAAGACACACGGTAATGGTGATGTTAACCAATCACTCACTCTCCAAGCAGGAGTCTTATCTGTGTGTTTTAATATTAAATCCATAACCGTTACCAAGTATAATTATTGTGCTTGTTGCGTTCAAGACTTATTTGTCACATTCGAAGTTACACAGGCACAACTCACAGTGAAATGCAAATCTGGTTACTCTGTACATTCTCAAGCAAAATAGTCAAATAAAAAAAAAATTAAAAATTTAATTAAATGGGTAAAAGTAGGGAGTGATGGCAAGATATATAATAAAAGTTAAAATAAAACTATATACATTAAAATAATAATAATTATATATATATATATATATATATATATATATATACAGAAGTGATGTTTAAGGGGTGGCTACACAATAAAAGTTAAAGTGTTGTAATATTTATACTTTGTATTTGTATATGATTTTATTTGTTGAAAAGTATATAGCAATTGGGTATTATTTATAAGCTTATAACAGGATCAAGCATGCAGTTGTGACATTCATTCATTTTAATAAAGGCTGTTATTTAAAAAATAATATGGTATGTGTAGACAGATTAATTGGAATCTAAATATCAGAACATTACTTGTAACATTTTTCAAGGGCATTTCACTTTTCATCCTTTTGGGATTTATTGTCAACACAAACTGAAGGTGTTGTTTTTTACATGTTGAACACTAAATGGGAGACGGAGTCCTTAATCCCTGTATAATGCCATGGAATGAGGCAAATATATAGATTTTTTTAATGACCTTTCAGTTTGTCTAGTTTAAATGAGTCTGTGAAGGTTTACTTAAAGTCAGCATTCATTAATTATACAAGGTGGCCATTTCTGGAGGCTAGACGTGCTTGCATGACACCAGCCTCCAGTCCTTTAATTCAGCTGACAGACATCTGTCGGTGTGTGAGAACTTTAGGCTGAGTCTATAGGAAAGGAGTGGAAAGCCATGGTTCACAAGGTGAAGTTTATATATGTAAACGTGTACATATATGTGTGTGTGTATACATTAACATTCCGGGTGACATTTTGGAGGAGAAAGACAGGAATATCCATATACACAACACTGTAAGCATGCCATGATCTTCATGTGCAGTGCCGGTCCTAGTCAATGTGGCGCTCTGGTCGAGCATCTGCACAGGCGCCCCCTGTCCGAGGCGAAATGAAATTGCCGGGCCCATCGGCGCCCTCTCAGAAGCTGCCGCCCTAGGCAGCCGCCTATGTCAGCTATAGGGTTGAGCAGAATTGTTCATGTGGCATGCTGTTACTTCGGAATGGAGATTTTTGTCAGTCATTTACTCATTAGATTAAATTTTATCTGTCAAACATATGATTTATCTAGCTGAGACAGTGTGTGAAGCACAAATTCACTTGCGTAAAATTAGTGGGCCTTCAGGCTGAATGCATGTTTGTTGAAGTTATCACAGCAGCTACATGTACTACTATATATATATATATATATAAAACTATTATTTCACCATTAAGGGGATATCTATATATCATATTGGAAACTGAGTTTTGATGGTCAGAGCTTCAGGTGGAAGAATCATTTACAGGGAACAGTGCATGAACTGCTCAGGAAGTCCACAGTCGTGTTTAGCTCATCTACGACGGCAGTCATATTGCGCTTCCCGGTAGCAGTGAAGCTGCTCTGTGCCAGTCCTTCCATCAGGGTGCTCGCAGGCATAGATAGAACCTCAAATTAGCTAAGGTCCACGGATTAAAAGGCGCAGCAAAGCAGATCTGAATGATTAAAGATAAAGGCCACGGCCGCTAATCCTGGAAATGAAAGAGTCACTGAAGCAGGCAGCAGTGAGGAGGAGGCTGACCAATAATCCATAAGGCGAAGCCTTCTCAGAGACGATGACGGCCAAGCGCTGGCGACGTATGAAGCAGTTTGCCTAGCAACAAGCGTGCCAATGATTTCATTAAGTAAAAGGATGTGCTTCTGGGCCAGCGTCTCGGGTACACCAGAGAGCAGACGGGGCAGGAAGTCCGCTCGACTGTGTTTTAATCGTGTGCGTTCTACCAAAACAGAAAGAAAAGCGCAACAGTGAGTCTGCATTAACATGAACGAAGTTTCCAGTTTTAACAATGTGGTAAAAGTAGCTAAAACAAGTAACTAGCATTGTGTTAACAATGCAAAGGTAACGGGTTTGAATCCAAGAGTGTACACACCAAAAACTGTAACATTTCCCGCTCTACTCTAAGATGCTCGGGATGAAAGATAAATGAAGACCATGTAATACTATTTATGAGGCTGCCGATAAATTAACAGTACGTTTCTCGTTTAAACTATTCGGAATTTTCAATTAACAATGTCACATATTAATGCCTCTTCATTGCAGCTTCAATGCATATTCAAGAAGCTGCTTATGAATGTCATCAAATATAACAAATAATGTGATAAATTATATGTAACACAGAATGTGACAGCTGTCATTTGGCACCAGAAAGCCTCACAGTAAATACGTTTTTGAGATGGGGTGTCATCGTCATTGATCCATGATCTGTAAAGTACAGGGTCATTCTGCACTGGCTATTTTTCATGGTCAGGCCACTGTCATCTCTTTGGAATTCAGTTCCATGTCCCTGTTTCTCTGCAGCTTGCAGTGAAACCAGGGCGTCCAGTTTGGCGAGAAGGGTGTCAGCACATGGAGCAGACGGAGACAGGAAGACCCCACAGCTCTGGGCACCAGAGCCTAGGCCCCCACACCAGTTAAAAGCCCTGGTGAAATACACTGTCAACAAAACAGCTCATAAGGATTCTGATTGCTGTTACATCAAAGGGAACATCTAAAAGGGACACAGCAGACCCCTTCCTTGATAAGGCACAATATAAGTAATTGCTATATTTGGCAAGCTGCTGCAGATATGGATGAAAGACAGGACAGACATCCATCTGAGCTGGGTGTGTGCTGTGTGGAGGCGTGTCTGGTGTGTGTGTCTGGTGTGTGTGTGTATCTATGTGCTGTGTGGAGGCGTGTCTGGTGTGTGTGTGTCTATGTGCTGTGTGGAGGCGTGTCTGGTGTGTGTGTGTGTGTGTGTGTGTCTATGTGCTGTGTGCTTCTGTGTCTGTTCTAACTGTGCATTTGATCCCATGAGCTTTTTAACATAACACACATGTGAACCACCCGCAAAACTTACATATTGTGATTGTACTTGCAAAGGTTTCACCAAAAGCTTTACTTTCCCAGCTTCCAAACCTGTCTGGCATGAGGAGTGACCTTCATACTGCATCAGGATCCTCACAGAATGAAAAAACAACTGATTCACCGGGAATAAATATATACAGTACACAACAATATTAACATAAGCTAACAGATATTCCCATAAATGACTGCTGGTTAAGCACTGGAAGGAAATAACTGTGTTATGTAGAGATTATTTTATGATGGATGAACTGGCCTTAATCAAGAAATCCTTCTGAGATCAGGAAGCGGACGACGGCTGAGTCATAACTGCCGTTGTTTCCTGCCTCAGTTCTCTTCTCACATTGTGTGGTCTTTGCATTTCCTATCGTTCAGTCAGGCAGTACCACAGACACCTGGATCCCCACAGACCCAGCGGCCCCCGAGCTGTGCATCAACACCAGGAAAGGGCGAAGAGGGCAAAGTTTTTCCAGGAAAAGCAATCCTCCACTTGGGAGCTGAAATTCAAGGGGAGGGTATAGTGTTGTAATGCTTGACTCCAGTGCCAACGAGCTGAGGCTCTCTACATCTGACGTCCCCAGCACTTTTACACATAGTGTTACCACTTATCAGGATAAACCAAATGACATTTAATGGGGGGAGGCAATTACGCCATCTTTAATGTTGCTCCAATTCCCTTCCCAGTTGCCTAATTGGCCCTTTGGCTTACTCAAACAAACAAACAAACGAAAATAGACGTTTCGTGGTGGGACTTGACAATTCTCCTAGCACCTCTGAGCGGGAGAGGCCGTCTAACCCCCTGGCCGTCTAACCCCCTGGCCGTCTAACCTCCTGGCCGTCTAACCCCCTGGCCGTCTAACCTCCTGGCCGTCTAACCCCTGGCTGTCTAACCCCCTGGCTGTCTAATCCCCTGGTCGTCTAACCTCCTGGTCGTCTAACCTCCTGGCTGTCTTACCCCCTGGCTGTCTTACCCCCTGGCTGTCTAACCCCTGGCTGTCTAACCCCCTGGCTGTCTAACCCCCTGGCTGTCTTACCCCCTCCCCGCCCCACTGTTTCATGTGGGCATGTGAGTGTCTCACAGCGGCGTCCTTGAAACAATCAGTCCAGTATTTCGAATTTCAGTCCTCATGTGTCTGAAACTGAAGCAGCAAAAAAATTAAGTGAACTAAAGACTCATCGAAAATTTAGAGCACTTAATATGCACATATATTATTGAACCATCCATACATGTTAACATAAAGAGTTGTTTTTTAATTAAAAGTACATTGCACTGTTATACATTTGTATAGTTAATATCAAATCATTAATTTCTTTAAATGTAACCAACAAGAAAGATAATGCAGCACCAATGACAGAATCTCAGCTAATCTGAATCCTAACATTTTCCCAAACATAATACTATTTTATAATCATATTACCAATAACATTATTCAGAATTTATTGCTGGTGCTTTTTAATAGCAATCTTACAAATTTGTACAGCTTGTGACATTTAGAAACATAGAGTCACATAAATCGTTTTATTACCCCAAACAAACCACTTGGCCAATTAGTGTTGCGTCGATCCATAGCCGCACAGGAGCGCCGGGCTTATGGTAGAGCAGCCAGTCAGCACGTACACATGTACCCACACTAAGCTCAGCTTACTGGCATCAATTTCCTTGAAGCACGCAACAGAAGAATCCAGGCTGAAGCTTGTGAACATTCAGCCCGAATTCGAACCCAAGTCTTTGGAGATGTGAGGACATGGTGCTGCAGTTGTGCAGTGCTGCTAAAGTCATGTACATGTTCTCGGTTAACAGCAAACGGATGACCAGCAACACACTAAATACATGATCCGACCGCTGTCACTGCCAGTGCTAGGGGATGGTTTGCTCAGCTCACCAAAATCAATCGTCTCTTGGTCTACAGACGTGAAAGAGTGAATTATGATGTAAGACATCTGGATTGAACTCCACTGGCTACCACAAACCTCACCTCCAGTTGTATTGTATGGTTTCCTTCTGTAGCTCAGAAAGATCTCTAAAGAGCCCATAGAGTGTGAGATTGCCTGCTGATGGTCTGGAATCAGTCTCCAGGGTGTCTCCTGACCTGAGCTTCTTGTGATGGGCTCCTGGCTCTCTACGACCCTCTACTGGACAACCCATGTTTGAATAGGTAGGTATTTTATTCCAAATATGAAATCTGCCCCAAAACATTTTAAGAGGTTAAAAGAGCTCCACATTCACAGAACTGATGATATTGTCAGTATCTATCTGTTTCCTGTCAGAGGTCAAGCCAAATTACCCCCGAGGGAGAAAATTGCACCGCCTTTAAGCTGGGCTGGTTTCTGCCAGTAAACCATTAAGTGATTAAAGCTTCACAATTACAAGTGTAGCTACTGTAATTGGTCAATTTAGACATTTGATGTTGATTTATTTCCGGTTTCTATCACTTTATTCCCCAAAGGAGATGCCTATTTTAGTCTAGGGCAGTGTGTCTCATAGCCAAGTCCCGGATTTCTCAGAGCTTAGGATCGTTAACTTTTGCAGAAAAGTTATTAGCTATTCACCCTGCACAATACCCGCATGTTTAAGTAATCTTTAAATGAAAATTATACCACATTGTTGAAAGATAACAATGCAAGTTGATTAAATTGCATAATAAATGTAAAATGGTTGTTAATGTGCTGTGAGAAAGTTACAAATATTTAGCAGAAAGTCATGGATTCGTATAGAAATGTTAATCCAGCCAGCAATATAGTGCTCATGTTAAAAATAATAATCATAAAAGTTTAATCTGAATGACACAAGTGCTTCAAGTCAAACGGAAACCCAGAAGTAACAGTGATCTGCAAAACATCCCCACCCTAGTTGAAATGTGGGACGCCAGAACATCGCCAGAGCTGAGCTCTGCTCTCCTGCTCAACTGCACCCACCTTGCTTCTCCAAGACGTGGGTCAACTCTCCATCTCTTTCCAAGTGACCCCATCAGAGGGCACATCACACAGAGTTGCGCACTACAGCATACTCCGCGTGGAGATCTTCAGAACATTGTTCTGGGGGACTATTGGGGAGGTGGGGGGTGACTAGCAGAAAATCTATTATGGTGGAGGCTATGAAAGTGCGCACCGCAGCACAGCTGTCACTACAGACTGGGACATCCTCCAGCATATTGACTAGAGGAGGGACGTTTGTCATTTGACACAGAGGCACTGTACCTGCAAGTTCAATCTGAAGGCACTGGCAGCCATAGTCAATGGAGCAATAGCCATTACATTATTGTAAGTCCAGTTTGAAAAGGGCAGAGCTGGGACGTGTTCATCAGAGTCCTTGAAGGCGAATGTGTTTTCAGTTTTTTTACTGAAAGGTTTAAATAGGATGCTATCTTAGACAAGCTGAAGGAGGAGCGAGAGCAGAACAATATATTATAATTTGAAGAGGGAACCCAACAGTACACTTACTTACGTATACCTACTGTATATACTATATACCGTGCCCTTCTATATGAACTGCTTAAGGATGCTAACATCATGTAGCGCAGTGTTTCTCAATGGGGACAGTACACATTTTTGCTCCCTCCTGGCTCCCAGCACACTTGTTCTACATATTCGGTGTTCTTGATTGGCTGGAATCCAGGAGGGAGCAAAAATGTGGACTGTCTGGGGGTCCCCGAGAACTGGTCTTGGGGGAATCTCAGTGATCACAAAGCACTTGAGGAATTCATCGTGAGCATAGAAAGGCAAGGAAGAGAAACTGAGTAGATGAGGATCGCAGAATCATCACACAGAGCCAGGTACCTGCAACCTCCCTGACCTGGCAAGGATCAGAGAGGCTCCAGCAGAGTTCTGTCAGCAGGACATTTAACCAGATGAGTCACAGAATGGAAGAGACTGAGGCTGGACACTAACTGCCCTGAAATATCTTCAGCTGTACTGAGTTCTAGATGCACCAAACTCTCTCTCTATATATATAGATATATGTCTGTCTCTCTCTCTTTCTCTCTCTATATATATGTCTGTCTCTCCCTCTCTCCATTTCTCTCTCTCTCTTTGCTAACTATGAGAGAATGATAAAGTCAGAATTGCCTGGGCAGATTCTAAGCCTGAGCCCAGAGGGACAATGGGATAGAAATGATATTTATATAGTCTTTATGAAGTAAATAATCTTCATCTGTTGTGGTCCAGCATCAGTAAAATCTGAATTTCAGTTAACACACATAACCACACTTCAGGAAGCAATTTGCCCAATTTAAAGATATTGTGCCTAACTTCCTAAAGCTATATAGTTTAGTTGATTGTATTAGGTGGTAGTCTATTAGAACATATAGAATACATTCTAATAGCCTAATTATTAAGAGAAAATACCGAATTGTTTGTGTACAGATGGGGTGAGTGAATATAAAGCAGGGGTCTCCAACTATTTATCTCTGAGGGCAAAATTTGATCAGCAGCACAAAGCCAAGGTCCACCGCATCCCCCCAACAATAAAATTCACCAACCTCTCGATCGTAGTTTAGATTCAATTGTGTTTCAGTCCAGATGTGGACCAGAGTCCTCCAGGTGACCAGCGACATAAAGCATTTAGAGTAATAAACATGGGAGAGGTCTGATTCATGCAGCAACAATGATATGAATAGAATGATTCTTAAACATAAAAGACTGTTTAGGCCAGATGTTAAGATCTACAAAGATAAGGCATCCTAAGTAGTGAAATTAAACTTTGTTTTCATTATGTACGCTGCAAAACACAGACAGTATTATGAAATAAATCTGCAAATTTGTTGATGGGGTAACACGATTGGATTGGATTTTAACCAGCATGTGATGCTGAATGTATAATTCTAATTATGACAATCAAGCGGGTCTGAATAATTGTATAAACTCTTCTTGGTGAGACAGCTGCATTTATTTAGCATTTTGTTTTCCCTGTTCACTGGAAATTTAATAATTCCAGTGTAACACTGCCACCAAGTGGTCATATGTTTATCTACTGGCCTCGACCTTGATACTACTTCTACATACGCATGCAGCTGAGAAAATGAACTGGAGTCTAGTGGGAATGTTGACCAATACAGCGGTCTGTGGTAATGTTTAAAAAACCAACAGCGTTTTCACCATCCACCCGTGTTACATGCCACTTATCCAGAAGAGGGCTGTGGTGAGCAGAGAGCCTATCGCTGAAAGCACAGGCCAAATAGGCAAGTGTGAGCCATGAACAGATTTCACCACTTTATACAATGAAATACAAATGTACTGTAAGATATACATAAATGCCAAAATATTATGCATCAGTTGCGGAGAGATTTTTATTTAGAAATAACAGTGCAACCATGGTTGAGTGATATACAATTTATAAAAGTTATTTTTGAATTGTAGCTCATACATTGTGTATTTCTTAGAGACCCTGTATTGTATAAGTCATTGGATGGATGGATGGATGGATGGATGGATGGAGCACCTCAGGTTTTATTTCAATGTTTTACATAATGTGATTTTTATCTGGCATTTTACTGCTAAAGAGTATTATAAGAACTAAACAACTGCATTATTAGGGCTGCAAAAAACAATTATTTTGATTATGGATTAGACCTAATCGTGATCAGCCGATCAACTAAATGATTACTTAGGCCAAAACATAGGGTTTCAAGAAAAGGACTTGAAAAGTGCTTTATTTAAAAAATATTAGGAGGTATTTTTAATTCACAGTTGTAATAATTTTTTTTTTTTACAGAGTGTAGAGAATTTCCACTTGAAGTGGCAAGTGGCATGGAAACAAACAGCTGCTGTCTCCCCATATTCAGCTTGCTAACAATTGTACTTTATGCCACGGTAAACGGTATTTTGATGGTAGTTACAAAAGTACATTGGTGAAATGCTGCCACAATGACAAAATAAAACTTGCCCAGTTTCTCCTTTCTATGTATTAGTTATTATAGTATAATTATAGTTTGAATGACTATTAATGGATTCCATTCAAGTCGATTAGATTACATCAGATTAATGCAAATTATGTCACAAATTTTAACATGACATTATGTCATTATTACGAGATTATTATCTTGCTAAAACGACATAATTGTCTTGTTAAAATGAGATAAATATCACGTTAAAATGACATAATTGTCTTGTTAAAATGAGATAAATATCACGTTAAAATGACATAATTGTCTTGTTAAAATGAGATGGTTTGTGACACGTGACAGCTGACATCACAATGGTGAGGGAACACAAGCTAGGTCCAACCACTGGGGGAACTAAACATTGGGACTGCTACAGAAAACAAAGGACTACGAAGGGTTAAAACAGAAGGCGGGGAAGATAACTCCAAAGGGACTAGAACTCATCTACACAGCTAGGAGCACAGCAGGTAAGGCACTGAGACAGTACTACAGCTATAACAGCTAACAACACCATCAATGACCAAGCTAGGAAGGCTGTCGTGTTCAGGCACATGTATGCACAGGTAACAAGTATTACACCAGGGGCAGGTGTGGACCATAACAACTGACTAATGGAAAACATCTGGGGTTAATGCAAACGAGAGGACACAGGATGGCCAGCAGTGACATCTGCTGGTCAAACAGGAACAGGACAGTGTGTACAGAGGCATATCATGCCAACAATCTTCACCAAACTGTGCCTCATTTATTTACAAGACAATGTGCATTATAACGAAACTGATTCAACAAATTTATTTTTTATTTCTGCCTAGGTTTAAGCCACAGCAAAATTTATAATTATGCTGTTTTAACGTGATATTTATCTCATTTGAACAAGATAATTATCTTGTAATAATGACATATCTTGTTAAAACAGTATAATTTCATGTTAAAACGACATCCATGGTAGCAATACACTTCCATAGAAACGTTCGTCGTTTTAAATAAATCATCAAGGTTCTTGATTTAACCGGATAAATTAGGATTACGTTATAACGCAAAACCTTTCTCGTATTAACAAGATAATTAACACAATGATTTATAATGTCGTTATAACACGATAATTTCACATTCAAACAGGTTGAAAGAGAATGAAAAAGAGTGTCCAAAAACGGACACCGAACCATGGGTGATGAAAGAGTGGCTTTCACATCAAGAGCAGGGGCTGCCCAAGGTGAACGCAAACTAAGCGGCTGCTTAGACTCACTGGCCACCAGGGGGAGCACCATCTGTTCAGCCTGTGAGAATGGCAAGGATGATGACAACTAAGTTGATCAAATTCTGCTTAGGGTCCCGAAAAGGGTTGGGTCTAATGAGAAAACTGCCCAGGGTACCTGTAGGTACCTTCTGCAGGGAGAGTGAGGGGCAACTGGACTTGCCAGGCAACCAGAAAAGACAGGCTAGGTTTTCTGGTTGTGTTTTGTAAATCTGCAGCTTTTATCACTGATATTTTTAATCTCTCTCAGGGAATCTCAATGGTCCCCACATTTGAAAACACCGCCATTATCCTGTCCCAGAACCAAGTGAACTACACTAATGTTTACCACCCTGTGGCACTTACTCTCATTGCAGTGAAGTGCTTTTATAGGTTGGTGCGGGAACACATTAAGGGCATTATCCTGATCAGTCTGGACCTCCTGTTTGCCTATCACCATGACAGACCCACTGAGGATCCACAGCAAGGCCTCAGATCTGGGACCCACCGCCACCTTCTGCAAGTGGATCCTACACTTCCTAGCAAGTCACACTCCCATTGTGATTGTAGGGGAAGCTGTAGACAGCATCAGTAATGTTAAGTTCCTCTGTGTCACCCTCTCCACAGACCTCTCCACAGACCTCTCCACAGACCTCTCCACAGACCTCTCCACACTCTGCAGCCGCTGTCAAGAAGGCCAACCAGCCGCGTCATCTCAGGCATCTAAGGAGGCCCAGAATGTCACATACACAAATGTCCCTTGGAGACCCTTCGCTCGCGTTCCCCAAGCATCGCTCTCAACTTTATGTAGAGCAATCAGCCATAACATTGTGTCGCAGAACAGCTCTGACCCGATGAAGCATAGACACGGGATGGACATGATGCAGCAAGAATATACGCTGATCAGCCACCACCTTAAAACTTCCTGCCTAATATTTGGTCCCCCTCATACCACCAAAACAGCTCTGACCTGTTGAGGCATGAATGCCACAAGACCTCTGAAGGTGTCCTGTGGTATCTGGCACCAAGATGTTAGCAGGAGATCCTGAAAATTGCTAGGTGGGGCCTCTATTCGATCGGATTGAGATCCGGGGAACCTGGAAGCCAAGTCAAACACTTGGAACTGTTTTTCATCTTCCTAAAACCATTCCTGAATATTTTTTGTGGTGTGGCAGGGTGTACTTCCCTGCTGAAAGAGGCCACTGACCATGAAAGTGTGTACTAGGTCTGCAATATTGTTTAGGTAGGTGGTACATGCCAAAGTAACATCCACATGAATGCCAGGACACAAGATTCCCCAGCAGAACATCGGCCAGAGCATCATAATGTCTCCACTGGCTTGCCTTCTTCCCAGAGTGCATACTGGTGCCATGACATCCTTCAGGAAATTATACACACCTACCCAGCTGTCCAGACGATGTAACAGAACATGTTACTCATCAGACCAGGCCACCTTCCTCCATTGCTCCATGACCCGGTTCTGACACTCACATGCCCATTGCAGGCACTTTCAGTGGTAGACAGGGGTCCGCATGGGCACTCTGACCCATCTGTGGCTAAGCAGCCCCAAACGCAGAAAGCTGTGATGTACTATGTGTTCTGGCACCTTTCTATCATAAACATAATTAACTTTTCAGTAATTTGTGCTACAGTAGCTCTCCCGTAGGATCGGACCAGACAGGCTATCCTTCACTCCCCATGAGCATTAGTGAGCCTTGGTCACCCATGACCCCATCGCTGGTTCACTGGTTGGCCTTCCTTAGATCACTGTTGGTACAGTAGGTACTGACCCCTGCATACCAGGAACTCCCCACAAGACCTGCTGTTTCGGAGATGCTCAAAGGACAGCAAGACGGGATATGTGCAAAGAAGAATCCTTATTTTGCTGTACTTATACAAATGGGAAATGAAAAGTTTCATTATCATTATCACTGTACATGTGTGCTGTGGAGACCACACTCCCAGGCTGCATAATACTCTGGTATGACAGCTACTCATCTCAGGACTGCAAGCATTGCAGGAAGCGCATCACATGAACACTCTTCTCATCAGCTTAATACATTCACACCACACTATAAAACTTAGAATGCTTGAATTCTAGACAGGGAGGCTTGCTGGTGGGTACCCTAGAGGAATGACGGCAGCTTAGTAACCACACTGCACTATTCTGGCTTCTGGGTTACATGCCCAGCATAATGAAGCCGAGTTTGCGTTCCGCTAACATCACGTGATTCGGTGCCTTTGACACACAACATTACAATACAGTTCATGCTTAAATTAAATAACTCCATTGGTATTTATGTATTTTTCTTTTGCTTATTAATACATATTAATTCTGTACATTGTATTAAATGTATTGAGACAGCTATCCCAATTAATAATGAATGCAATAATATAAAATAACAGATATTTTATTATATAACAATAATCATGTTTTTATGATTTATTAACGTACAAATTAATACATCCATTCAACTTCCTATCACTTATGAAGTAGAAGTCACGGTTTAATAAAACCGCAATTGAGTAATAACATTTGGCGTACTTATGTAACACACCCGCGCGTCAGCTAAATGAGAATAAATGGCTTGCTTGATCCGGATGAAAGTCAAGAGCAATGAAAAAGGTGACATTCTTAAAGCCAGCGCCTCGCGATGGTGTTAAAGACAGTCGTAGACGTAGGTGTGCCAGTAAGTCAGTCACGCCGGAAGATGGCAGCCAACGCTTGCGAAAACGTGCAGTCTTAAGTGAATGGTTGAGGAATGCCCGGATATAATCACGAACAGCAACACTGACAGCAAGGCGATCCACGAGCAGTCGGCTTAACGAGTCGCCGAACACAGGTCTTTTTAAGTAATTCCGATTCGTCTCGATCGTCATTTCTTGTGGAAAACAACGGCACACGCAACGATATCGTAAGTAACAAAATTCAGGTTACAGCTCGATCAGAGGAGTGGTGTAACCGTAAACATATGAAAAACGTAGTTTGTGCTGGTAAAGAAAATATCCGTCTAGAATTACCATACTGTTTAGTGTGTTATATCTCCAGTTAATTTTACATTTTGTCGTTCAGGTTTCAGCGTGGTAGTCGGCTGGGCGGCTGATGGGCACTAACCGTAGCCGTTTCTCGATGTCAGCGTCTCATATGTGCATAAATTGCGAACGATCTCTTCCTATATAACAAATGGCGAGGACAACTAGCTGTCAGCTGCTCTCGGAGCTAGAAGGAGGTGCGGATCCGCGGACTGTAAACGGATCATGTGACCTCAGGTGGTCATGTGACCGCGGGCTTAACGTGCGTGCGGCTGACCTGCAGAAATTATATCCTGCACCAACGAACAGCACAGCAAATGTATGCGAGGAAAGGAGAATGAGATTTGTTTTGACCAGCTGTCCATGCACTTTAGGCAAGCGAAAATTAGCAAAATTTCCATGCTTACGCGCAGAAAAAAATTATAACTATCGAATTCTTTATTTCTTTATGGCTGACCTCGCCGAGTATAACTCATATTTCTCGCAACGTACAAGGATGCTTATTGCAGTATTTTATTTTATTGGATTAGGAAAAGACTTGTGTGCAAGTACTGAACACGATTTATGAAGCCGGACATAGCAAGTCAAAATGTAATTCATATCTCCAGATTCAGATGTTTGTTGCCCTGCTTTGCTTTTTATGGAGATTGTTAAACCGCAAATACCAGTGAGGTCATATAGTTTTCCTCCTATCTAAACATCTTGTTATCGGAAATCCAATTGCAGACCCCCCCCCCACCACCCTTGACAGAAATCCCACTGAGGCATTATAGATAGATAGCCTTTATTGTCCTATAAGGATATTTGTCTTCACACTCTGTTCCAATACAAACAAAGTACATTACAAGCCTCTAACATGTAAAACATGTTGGGTGGCACGCATAAACATGTACACACAATATTGCTAGTCTGTAAAATTGAATGTCTTACTGTTATAGAGTTTTAGTAACACTGATAAGAGACACGCACAACCTTAACGAAGCAGTTCTGTTAATGAATATATTGTAATTTAAAATGTTCATCTTTCTAAAAACATCACCCAAGTGTTTTAATGGGGTTTATAGACAACATTTTTTCCTATCTAGCTATCTGAAATGGCAACCTTAAAACATGTCCCATACATTTTAGTATTTTATTGTATTGCTAATATGATATTGGTTGTATTACCGTATATATTTTTGCGCATGTATTTCCATAAATTTTACTTTTATACTCTTTCATTTTCTATTGTCATGTTGATTCTTTTTGTTACATAAAAGATTTGGTTTTAATACTTATACATGGATATACACATCTGAATGACAGGTGGAAAATTCAGGTCCAGAAAGTCCCAATCCAGACCAAGATTTTGTTTCAATCAACTAGTTGAGTACTTTTTCAACCTCAGCTGAATGTGATTGGCTCCATAAGGTTGCACACTGTAATCGAAATATCAGTCAAGCAGGGAAAAATACTCGTATTTCATTCTGTTTGTAGCGTCTGTCCTGCTCGGTGTTTACCATCACCATTTGTCAAAATGAAGTACATAAACGTTGGAAACGTGTCCCTGAAAAAAAGAAATCGCAGCCACAGACTTTGTTGCAGATATACATTAAAACATTAAGACAGCATATCTAACCTGTATGCAGACAGACGTTAAATTACGTTAAGATCAATTTGCATATAAATAACAACATGCAATCATTCAAATAGCATAAATGTGTATCCTTCTGCATTACAGATTATATATAAACAATCAGGACACCTATCAGGCCCCTAAACTCAATATTACTTAACTTACTGAATTTGTATGGCATTTAGTTCCACTTCTGTGAGAAATCACCAATGTAGTTTGATTTCTTTGCCATTTTACCTGTTTGATTTGAAGCGAGTGTTTTCTGAGAATCGCCACATGCTTAAATAGTCGACCTGAAGCATGAAGAAAACACAGCCAGCAGCTGGGATGTCTGGCCTTTTAAATCCCACCAGCCATACGTACATGAATGAGTCTGTTGTTAGGAGGCCTGGTTATGAGCTTTTTCTTTTCCCGTTCCCCCAGCGACATATGGAATCAATATCAACACCCTCTTGTTGACCTGCTTGCTCTTACTGAAATGCATCCTGTTGTTGTGTTGCCCTGTGTGCATGTTCATTCTGTTGCTTGATTACTGAAGAGCGGTGACCTTGCCTGTGTCCCCCTTCACTCTCCTTTTTTGTCCACTAGCTCAGCTGGTTAAACCTCGGAGAAGCACGAGAACCTAGCAGCAGGGCGTCACACCCATTTTCCGCTCTCTGCTGTTCTTCGGCGGGCTATTGTGACCATCTGACTTGCAGGATGTCTCCTGCCACTTGCAGACCCTCTCCAGGGCCCCCTTCCTGTGTCTGTATTGGGCCCAGTCTTTAGTAAAAGGGACTTGTCTGTAGTGGAAATGCAGGCGCTGCCTTATTCACACCGAGAGGCAGAGGTCCTATACTGTATCTGTTATGTCGACTCGTACATGTGTATGTATCTATTTTGCGTGACATGCATTTGAATGGCGACCCTGGCATAAATGTCTTTGATTTGCAGTTTTGTGGGTAGGTAGGTTGTTTCTGGGGCCTGCTGTTGAACTGTCTTTGGTGGGGGGGGGGGACATTGTGTCCTCTGGCTTTTTGAGCTGGTGCTTTATGAGTCATTTCGGTCCCTGCTGGGGAAATCCCAAGTAAAACTTTCACAGTTGTGCTTTGAGAGGCTTTAAGAGCAAGTGATTCTCAATCTATTGTCGAGCAAGGGTATCATAGCTCTTACAGGGAGCAAAGTAAGTATTCAGAACCCTATTGACTGCATTACCGTCTCACAAATACTACATGGTATCTAAAATTCAGTTAATTACTGAAACCATGAATCATGAACTACACGGTGAAATTGAGGTTGAGGCTGGCGGTACATTTTCTTCAACCGCTTTTCCGCCACCCACTGAAAATGGAGAAACACTGCCCTAAATATTCAGCTAGTGTTTTAGTGTTCTTACTTCCTGCAGGTTGGTTAACTCCTTGCAAACCTTAGAAATGCTTGATATTCCGGTCTTTGCCTTCCATCATTATCTGGTTATATGAATAGTTTGTGAGGGAAGATGCATTGAGTAGGTTGACTCAGAAAACTGGCTGCATTTTGCATCTGCTTCCTTACTTCATTATCAGTAGATCCAGATACCTCATTCTCAGTAGATCCAGCTCAAGGCTATGTTCATATTTTCTTTATTTTGATTACCCTTTTATCCAAAGCATCGTATGTTTTTGAGACGTCAGACAATCTTTCGAGCCCTTGCTCAGGGGCCCAACCATAAAATCCCACTTCCAGCCTTGTGATTTGAACCAGTGACAGTCCCATTACAGACCCAGTATCCTAACCCTAACCCCCTGAGCCATACGCCAGAATAAAGTCCTAGATCATCCATGTTTGTCTTCTTTTTTACTGTCTATATCTTTGACTTGTCTCAAATGTTTCCCCACCTCTTTGCCACAAAAAAAATCTGTAGAAAAAATATCTAACTAAGCAATGACACATTTGCAGTTTCATGTATGCATCTGTTATTGAAATTCAACACTTCTTAACTGAAATGTCCTCATCACTTGCAAACTGTATGTGTGAAAATTAGCTGATATGTTTTACCATCATCGTTCTTCGCTGGTAAGACTAATCTGTCTGTGTGGGCTGAGTAACACGCCTGATTTGAAGCTGTTTTTAACAGCCTCGGACAATATTGTCCAACAGGATGGTGTTTAGTGCATTAGTTGGACCTGCAGGAAGCTCTGTGGGCTGCCTGTCACTCTTGTTTTGCTTATAGGAAAGGTTTCACAGTAACTGATGGGAATTACTAATGAGTCTGCTACACTATAGCTGGATCAGTGCTCTGCCTGTTGGGCATATTAGGAGAGCACTCTGTTTATAGATCTCTGAAGGTACTCAGATGTGAAACGTTCAGTCGTATTCCAGTTAAATGTTGAATGAGCTGGATTCCTCTCAGAAAGAGAGCGACGTGATCTCTGAAATATTCACAAGGCCGAGAAACAGTGCAGTAATGGTTCACGTCTGTATAGCCATTAAGAGCCTTGGCATATTTGTGCAGGAATGGATTTGGTTCATTTAATGAACGAACTTATGGCTCATTGAAAATGATGATTTCATTGATTTGAAAACAGGTTAGGAAAATAGTGCAGCTTTAACAATCTGACACATTATGAATGGCTCCATAATGTGCTTTTTTTAGAGCAATTTAATTTTATTTTGTTTGGTTCAGTGTAGCCCAAAAGATTTATGAGAACACATACCATTATTATTTGTGTGGTATTTTTATTAAGAGCCTGGGCTCCCCGTTTTGTTGGGTTTTATTTGATGTTATGAATGTGCTTGTAACTTTGGCTGGGATTCTTACTTCTCAGAAGTGTTCAGAAAGACGTGTATCTTGTATTTCATCTTGTTTTCTCACTCCATTAGTGACCATTGAAATAAACACCATCTATTTTCACAGCGTCGCCTCTGGAAAAGTGGGGGGGGCTAAAGCTTCATGGTCACCTGCCGGAGTAGCTCATGGATGAGGAAGAGCTCCAGACTGATGAAGAGGTCGGAGAGACTGTGGCCGATCACCGTTCCATAGGTCACGTGTCCTGTCACCATGGCCATGAGGCGGGGCAGGAAGTCCCTGATCAGAATTTCATGACCGACAATCAGGAGGAAGACTTGGGACCTCAGGAACAACTAGGTAACTCTCACAGGGAACCGTGCTCACTACAGCCTGAGCCGGCTGGGTGGAAGGTTGTGTCTTATCTCAGAGGCGAAGCATCCATTTTAGTTAAAGTAATAAGAAACCTTTAATGGTCCCAATATCGGCACAGAAAGTCCTCTTCAGGCATGTAAACGGAACCCCATGTTTTGCAGTGCAGAATAATCTTCAAATAGTAGCTGTGTGTGTGTGTGTGTGTGTGTTTGTGTGTGTGTGTGTGTGTGTGTGTGTGGTTAATTATTACATTGTGGCAACAAGATTTCCCCACAATGTGATAAAACACAATAACTTTTTACCAGGAGGGGACCTTTTTCTGAGTAAGTGAAAATGAGAAGGATAATTCCATATGAATGTATGTAAATTAATCTGCAGGCAAACAAGTTAGAGGACCAGTGAAAAGCTTGCTGGAAACAAATGGTCTATATTTTTGTATAATTGTATAAGATAAAAACAGAAATGTAAGCAGACAAGATGTAAGCAGTATCCAAGCAGAATAAGAGAACTGAAAATTATGTCCAACATGTCACCATTTGTCTCTGGGAGGCCATCTTTTGATAACGGCTTCACAAAGTCAAGGCATTTGGTTAACGAGTTTCAGCAAAGAAATCACCCAGCTGTTACACAGCCGTTCCCAGAGGGGTGAGGTTCTTATGGAGCACTTTGCTCTGAACCTCCTGTCCAGTCTGACCTGTTCTGTCAGGTTGAAGTGTGGAGACTGGATAAGCCTGGGCAATAGTTCTTTTTAATTTTTAATTTAATTTAATTTTAAGGTCTCTTGTGACTTGTTGTCTTCCTCAAGAATGAAGGGTCGTCTGATCCGTAGTGATCCTGACAGAATGGTACACTGTCATAAAAAAGTACCAATTTGTACCTTTAAGGGTACATTATTGTGTCACTGGTATTCTAAAGAGTCTGGAAATTGTATCCTAGATGTAGGTAAATGTACTTTTTAAGGTACATAAATGGACTCTGAGGAACATATTGTACCATTGGGGGTACATTAGTGTTGTTTGTACCTTTGGGGAACAAAACAGTACCAAAGCTGTTCCCTTTTTTCTACAGGGTAGTGCCAGAGATGGAGGCAGTGGAAGGGCACAGGGTGGCACCAGCCTATTTGAAATCTGATTGGCCCCTTCGGCCATCTCACTGCCACGCCCATGCTTGTCAATAGGAGCCACCCACCATCTCTGCATCTTACACAGAGGTTTCAAGCAGGTTTACCTTGAAGGCCAGAGACACTTGCAGTTTTTGAACAGTGAGGAGGTGATGATGTCATCTAATGAGCCTTGTCTCATGACAGAACCCCTCCATGCATAACTCTTATGCGTGACACTGACTGTAGTAAATGGGGGATATTTTTCTTTGTTTTCTGTTTGTTTGTTTTTTTCATTTTTGTTTCAAAGGCATTTAAATAAGCTTTGAATATCCACCTCTCCTTAATAAATTCCAATATGTCTGCCAATAGGTGTGTGTGTTTTTTTTTTTTCTTTCTAGCGGTCTACCCTTTCCCATATCCCAGTGAGCTCTCCTCATCTGCCCCCTCATTGCCTTCAGCATTGCCTGCTCTCGGACTGACTTGCTTCTTTGTGTTCTGTGTTTTGTGTCTGCAGTAGTCACCATCGGGAGCTGTCCATCTCTGTTCCGTTCTGGTGACCCCGCCCCTCTCGGACCCAGCCCTGCCTTGTTGGCGTGGCTGAGGGAGTTGGGGGAACACAGTGACCACAGTCTGCTGCCTCTGTCGCTGCACCAGGTGTGTCTGTGCTGCCGTCTGTATGCGCGGCGCATAATGCGAGATGCACTCTGGTTACAGTCCATGACGACTATTCTTTATGCCTAATAACCCTTAGACTTGTTATAAATTAACAGGGCACAAATGCAGTTTTGTGGAACGGAAACAAATCTATTGTAATGTGTACAAAAGTATGTTTTTTTTCCCCCCATGGAAATTGGGAGATCTTCACCGTTTCTGAGATTTATCACTGCTCTGAGTTTAGATTGAAAGGGTGTGTGTTTTTTTTTTTTTTAAAAAGACGAAGGTGTTCTGCGATGCTTGTGATTAATTATTAAAATAGTAATACATTATGTAGGAAAAGGTGGTTTATAATTGGCATAGATAATATCAGCATCTTAGATTACCAGAGGATGTACTTCGAATGTGAATAATTAATGATAAAATTAATAAAACTATATATAATTTATACAAATAATAGATCCCCAGAAAGGATCGACACATTAGTAAACTAATACTAACAAGATTTTGGCTTTATTAACAAAGCTTTTAAGTCAAAATATACTTTATTGTAAGATTTGGTACAATATTTAATTGCGTAGAAACAGTGTAGAATGTCTTTACTGTATAATTTGTGCCTATCATCAGTTATTGCCTGAAAGTTATTGCCCATGATCAACTGAGCCATCCCAGGGAGAGCATTGGCTGTGATATCCATTGAACATGTGCTCTGTTTTCTGAGAAAGCTCCTGCTCAATGCTCTGATTGGTCAGTCTTGCCATCAGCATGTCGTCATGGAGGAATCGGAATGCTCTGTATGGCGACATTTCTAAAAGCAGAATTCTTGTTTGTCTGGGTGTCTAGTAATGTGTCTGACACCAAGCTCTGTTTTGGCACAGCAAATCAGAAGCTCAAAACAGTGCATATTTGGCTTGACATTTTCAGATTGTTTCAGGAAATAAACCCCGCTCTCAAGTTGCCGGAAGACTGATAAATGTGTGACAGTTAAATGTTTTATTTAGCTGGTCACCACCAGCAATGTTTCGAGTCTTTGGCTACTGGCAAAGAATCATGGTGTGCAAATGGTTTGAAATGAATCTTCAGTTTTGCAGCTGCTGAAATCCCTTCTCCTTGTTTTGAGGACTCTGATGATGACTGTCATCAGCTCTGAAAACTCCATCAATATGCACTACATCCTCTGTTATAGAGGTGCAGTTGGAATTGGACACCTGGAAACACCTTAGGTTAGGAGATCATACTCTATGATTTGAGTATAAAAGGGCCTGTTGTGCTAGCAGGTGTATGTAGATTTTAAACGGTGGAACTGGTTTGAAGAAGTTAAACCAGAGAATCTGCTTGGATTAGCTGCTTTACACACAGACGATGGAGGAGTCGCAGACTCACAGACACTCTTCTCTGTGATGTTAATGGTCTCCCTCTCGCTCTGTCCTCTGTGCCACGTCATTCTTTCCCTCTGTCCTCAAGGTTGTGCTTTAATGTGAAACCTTGGAGATCTGGATGTACTGTAACTTGACCTGCTGTGTTCCAAGCTGCCATGTTCCTGAGCTCTTCAAAAGCCTGCAGAAGACAGTCACACCCAGGGGTGGAAGGGAACCTGTTACCGAATCTATCCAGCTCATATTTTGCTCGCACAAAATACTTATTTTTCTCCTTTTCAGGTTACTTTCCCCTTTTGTGTGATGAATGACCTTGATACTGACAGTTGCTATAATACAATAACAGTTATGGAAATCCAGGACTGGGCTGGGGAAGCCCCTTATGGGATGTCCACAGTGACTCATAAATATCCGAATGTTTAAACTGTCTGGAAATCGTATAAGCAAATATGTGCGACTCTATAAGAATTTCACCTATATTGAAATCTGGGTAGGTAAAAGTTTTGCCTTTTCTGCTGGTTAGGCTTGTTAATCAGCTTCAAGATCATGCAAATCACATCAGATCACATTATTGTTACTCCACTTGACACTTGGCAATGTGCAGGTGATTGAAACGGTTGTGTGCAAGTGTCACTGCAGCAGCAGAAACAAACAGTGCAATTGGAGGGGTAAAAAATGGTAAAGATACAACAATAAGTAGTTTGCAACTTTGACATGCTAATTTTAGTAAATATAATGGACAGTAGTAATGCGGTAATGGGTTTATTGAACAGAGTTTCGCATTCTGTGGTCTGGTGTAAGAAACTGTCCTGTAGGTGGCAGCGGTAGGCACAGTGCTGGGGGCCAGAAGGTCTTCTGCTCCACCTGGGAGACGGGCACTCATGACGTTCTCCATATCATTTACCTGTAGGTCTTTGGGAGGAGGACAGGAGTACTGCTGTGTTTTGGCCACTGGAATCCTGCTGTATGCAGTGCCGGGCTGTTGACAGTGAGGAGCATTTGGTGCTTTTCTAACGTTGCCTCTTGCTCTTTCAGGTGGCTGAGGCCTTCTTCCTCGAGAGAGATTGTATCCTTCACATTCACTGCTACACTGGCCCTTTTTGTTTTTGACCACATCCATTTATTCCTGCGCTTGGAAGATAGTCACAGTTATCCTTAGTGGTTTTAATTCAGCTGTTTTTACCTAAAACTATTTTCTCATTGTATGATTGGCTGACATTCAACTGTTTAGTTAATACTGACTTTTGTATCCGATCTCTTGCCATGTATATAAATGCCAGGTCATTCAAAAGATCTTGTAGTCAAGATTCAGATTCAGGGTACTTTGTTGATCCTGAGGAAATTATGTGGCAAACAAAGTAAATAAGTAAAAGATGAAAAAGTTTGGGGGAAAAAAAGTTTAAAAGTTTGGGGAAAAAGGCAGGAGCAGAGAGAACTACACTAAACTTCCAGAATGAGGTCTTCTACAGGTTAAACAGCACACTAAAGTAAACATGAAAAAACATCTGTCCAGTTGTTGTGGTGTCTGTGTCTCGGTTCATTTATAACAGATTGACATAAAGAAAAGGGAGGTTCTGTTCAATAGACATTATTATTATTATTATTATTATAATAACCGATATTTTATTGTCCCCGTGGGGAAATTGTCTTTACACCTCCCTCGACTTGCAACAGGCAGCCACCTGTTGGGGCCCCCGGGGAGCTGGGGGTTAAGGGCCTTGCTCAAGGACCCGCAGACATGATGAGGCTGGGTTTGAACCGGCAACCTTGTGATTACAGGCACACAGGCTTAGCCCACTGTACAGCCATTAGGTCACAATATTACATTTATTTTTAAGTTTTAGACCTTAATGTCCACTGTAATGTTCAGTGTTTGAGTCTTCGGGGTGCATTAGACTCTGTCTTGCTGTGTAACCAGCTGGGCTGTTGGCTTGGAGAATTTCTGCTAGAAGAATCCGTTAGCAGCTCAGGGCCTCGGGGTCTTGGAAGAAGGCCAAACTGATCCCAAACGTGGGCTTATAGAGGGTGTGGTCAGGTCTTTAACCTGCGTACAAAGATAACCATCCAGACCAGTATGTGATTTCATCTGGTGCAGCGTCTTTGTCAAAACTGAGCGCTTTTCTGTGTCGTGTGATGCATAAATCTGCAATCTTAAAGCAACAAAGACCAGATGATGGTCTTGAAAAGTAGGGAAGCCCAACAGATCAGTGACACTGCAGGATCTGCCAACCTTGAGGGTTCTTGAGGTTTTGTTCAGAGCTGAGTGCTTTCCTTGGTCCTGGCTTTCATTCTTTATCTGCTTTCGTATGTAATTTCCTCTGCCCAGCCCCCCCACCCCCCCTCCAGCATGTGTTCCTTGTTTACTTGGGTGTCATGGAAACAGTCACTGACAGTGTTGTGGCTACAGGCTCTTCTAATGCAGGGCTTTTTATTCATGTATGAATGTATGTATGTATGTATGTATGTAAATGTGCTTGTTGCTGTTGTTTGTTTGTTGGTTTTTCCTCGTTCAGCCTGGGATACCAGTTCTGCTGCTTCTGAAGGCCACACGCTTCGCCGTTCTGGGACACTCGCCGAATGCCTCCGCAGTGCTGTGCCTGGCCCAGTTCTGGCCCAGTTCCTCTTTTCAGGGCGTTTCCCGCGTTTTCTTTCTGTAGCAACTCTGAACGTGTGGCTGTTTTTGGTGGCCAGCCAGTCGGCTCACGCCTAAGAGCTCAGTAACCCAGCCCCCTCCGGGAGGAACTTGACAAACGCCTTCTCGATTTATGGCAGCGTCGTGTCAGAACTGAACAATGTTTTGCCATTTTTTGCTAAACCCCAATATAATAAAAAAGTTTCCTTCTTGGTTTTTTGTGAGATGTTACTCATTATATTCTGACAAGGTTACTTTTTACTGCTCCTCAGATTGGAAAGAAAAATACTATTAATGTCCTGGTCAGATGATTTGATAGTTACTCACAAATGTGCATTTTAAGAGCAATTTCTGTCCTTTTGATATGAAGCTAGAGATGATTATATTCGTATAATATATAAAATCAATCCATCCATACAATAGCTGCCTATTCTGGTCAGGATTGTGGAGTATGTAAAATGTCCATCTGTTCATTTTTCAACAGCGTGTTCTGATCAGACTCTTGAGGGTTAGAAAATGCACATTTCCTTAGGTTTAAATATGGGAATGGAGTGTGACTCATTTGTTTTAGTCTCTCGCACTCTCTTTTCATTTGAAACAACACCTCCTCTACACCCTTTTCCTTGACCAGACCGTCCCACAGATGAATGGGCAATCCGCTTCATACAGCTGGAGAGGCTGTACCACGAGCGGCTCCTCTCTAACCTTGCCGCCCTGCAGGAGCAATGGGGTAACTTGATTGATTTATTCTTGTCATCTACTAACTTTCTTGCTGTTCTACACTGTGCTGCACTAAATAAAAAACTCTCCTGGGACTTAGGGCAGAACAAAAAAAGATTGGTTCAGAGAGATAACCAATCAGATTGTAGAGGAGGTGGGTCCAAGCAACAAGAGGAGGCGGGACCACACATCTGATTGGTTGGCCTGACATCTGATCAAGATGTGATTGGCTCTCTGTCTGAGCCATTTTTTATTTTTTTTGTGGTAGTTGTTCAGAAAAATACTACTCTTGATGATTTAATATACCCATTGCAGTTAGACCTTGTAGTGGCCTTATGGGATTATTTCAAGAATAAATGCATAAGCTTATCATGGTCCACATTGGGGCTGGTGGTAAGGCTATATGAGACATGAGATTTTTTTTCTTATACTTCTCCCACTGGCTTTCAGAGAGCCAGTTCAGAGCCACTGGGTCACTGGAGGCTTCATGCTCAGAGAACCTGGACACGCTGATCGGCATCTGCAGGACACACCTGAGGTGAGACGCTTTCCAGGTATACAATCTGGGGTTTCTTACTTGAGTTTTACTAGCAAATAGGGTTACCATATCGGATGAGAGAACCTTACAGTTAACTCTTGTTTTACAATCTACACACAATTTGCTCAATATACAAGTTACAAAACACTAAGCTATAGTTAGCAAACAACGAAATAAAGTGTGCCAATGGTTTCCAGAAGTTGATCTCACTCATGAGCAGCGTGACCCATAGCGATGTGCATATTGTTCAATAAACAATTAGTAAGCATGTGCACGAGCCTTGCAAATGCTGTGTGATGATACTGAGTGCTGCCGTATATTGAAAATCGGTGCCTTTTCCTTTACTTGGTACTTCACTTGCAACACTGGGTTATACGGGTTGCAGTGTTAAATCCGGATAAGCTGCCAATTTTTGAAAAAACGAGTGGATGCCTTTAGAGGAGCCTAAAAATAGTCCGGGGAAACCCAGACATACGGGTAGCCCTACCTGTAAACCCGAATGGTTCCCCTGTACAGATGGATTACAAAGTATCCACATTAAGATTTTCAATTGTTTTCTTACTGCAGTAAGTAGCTGTGTAAGCCTTCTGTATTTCTAATTTTCTTCTGGGCATTGCTGTGAAGTCAACTGTGTGAATCACTTTTTGTTTGTTTGTTCACAGACCTGTCCTCAAATCACCAAAGGTAGGAAATCTGTGACCACCTCTGCAGAGTTTTGTTGCGCATGTGCAATGACAACAGAGAGATTCTATTCTGTGCTGCGTCTTTTCTTGTCTTATTTTGCTAAGACGAGCTTCCCACTTGCCTCCACAGCATGTCACTGGTGGCAAAGTCCTCGAAGGGGATGAGCCAGATGCCAAGGCACACAGCGCAGGTGAGCACAGCCGTTACTGTGGGGCGGTTACTGGAATCCAGTTTTGCCGTACCTTTCACTTATAGCATCATATTAGTATTATATTCCTATGAAAACCAGTTAAGTGGCAAATGGATTTTTGATTTATAGTCTTACTTAGTCTTCTGCTTCTGTTGTGTTTGAGCCACTGTCTGGGTTTTTTTAGATGGAATATTATGCAGCAGCAAAACTGATAAATGTCCATTGAATACCAGGCTAGCTTCAAAAAGTAATAATAAATGTAAAAACAAATGTTATTGGCTTTAAAACAAATGTCACCATAGTAACCTAACTTAATCGTATGTGCAAATACAGTATTACAGACGCTCCTCTACTTACTGTATGAACTTTCAACTTATGAACCTTCAGACAAGAGGACCGTAAGTGCAAATTGTGTTCATTGGGCTCCCGTTTCCTGTCCGCAACATCAATTTGTTTTTCTGCACGCCAATTCCTCCTGGTACGACTTCTGCCCGCTACTCCCGCCGTGCAGCAGTGTAGTGTGTGTACTCCTAGCATCCTAGTTCTTTGTACTGGCATATGCCCTTAAAATGACATTTAATAACGATTTACGAACATTTCAATTTACGAACGGCTGTTTGGAACGTATCTCATTCGGAAGTAGAGGAACGTCTATATATGTATGTTGTTATTTTTAATTGTGAGGAATAGTTTTCTCGTTTTCCTTATCCAGAGGTTCTGAGGCTCTTCATTCACAAACACCAAAGAAATTTTATGATTAATATGTAAATAGTTGTACTGAAAATGTTCATGCTTGATAAGGATATATTCAGCAGGGGAAATTTATAAATCAGCCTGGTACCAAATATGACACAAATATTCAAAAACACATTAAGAACTCTGATTTCACACTTGATTTCGTCGTTCCTTGTTTTTTTCCCACTTGATTGCTTAGCTCATTGCTATTTTCAAAGCTCTTAATTGTGAGAAGTTCCTAAAATTACTGAACCGTTGATCCTGATAAATTTAATTATAGTCATCCAGTCTTTACTGGCCCATGATAGTTGGTCTGAATTACAACTTATGGGAAATTTTTGTTCACAATGGACTGAGGGTGGCGCAGTGGTTAGCACTGCTGCCTCACAGCAAGAAGATCCTGGGTTCGATCCTGGGTCCTTTCTGTGTGGAGTTTGCACGCTCTCCCCGTGTTCACCTGGGTTTTCGCCGGGGCTCTGGTTTCCTCCCACAGCCCAAAGGCGTGCAGGGAAGGCTGATTGGCGTGTCTGAATTGGCCCTGTTGTTGTGTGAGTGTGCGTGTGGCTGGGTGAGTGTGCGCGCCCTGTGGTGTGTTGGTGCCCACCCATGGTTGGTTCCCGCCTGCGCCCGTTGTTCCTGGGATAGGCTCCAAGGCCCCCGCAACCCCAGTGGGGATTAAGCGGTTACAATGATGGATGGATGGATTCAAGCTGAAAAGGTTCTGTTAAGCCCAGGAGTGTTAGGATGTCCGTCCAAACAGCCCCAAATGCATCTTCACATCCTTGTGGGTCTCCACTGCATGTTATTCTTTTCTCACTGGGTTATTTTTCAGTATCTCTGCTGCCCCATCTTGCTGTGTATGATATGCATTACTCGGGATACAGTGCCCCCACCCCCCATCGCCCATCCCCCATCGCCATGCCACCAATAAGCAGGCCTGAGGATTTAACACCTGCTTTTACTGGTACAGCCATAAGTTGCCCCCACCCCTGATCATACCTCCCAGTGGAATGACCATCTGTTGTTGATGTCCATTCTGCAGCTCCTCTCCCAGCTCTTTGCCACAGGCAGGCATTTTGTGTTTTCTGAGGTGAAGACCTGTAGGAAAGAGACCATTGTGCTCAATGTGCCATTGGGGGTCATAGTTTTGGTGGCGGGGCGTCCAGTGCTTTCTTCCAGTGTCCTACACAGTGTTGGCTAACCCAGTGCTGTGGAAGCTACAGAACCACGCAACTTGTGGAATTTTCCACCGTGGAAGTGTAAGTGGTGGCAGTTTTGTACAAGGTTCAGTTGGAACTTTGAACCACTGCTTTCATTTTGAAAGGACTCTGGACTCTCCCAGATTACACTCTGGTAATTTATGACTTACTGGCTTGAAGCTGTGACATCACATCACAACAACATCACTGTAGGTTTTTTTCCTGTCGTATGTTTATGTTAGCTTCAGATGCAGTGAGTGGGTTTTAATACTGCCTGTCAGTGAGTAAAATGAAGCCATTTTGCTGTATTGTCATATTGTAAAAACGTGTAGCTTCTACTCTCAGTGGATTTTGCAGATACATTGTGTGTTGAACCTGCAAGATCTGTCTATAACCAAAATATCACCTCCCACTAGCTGGTGTTGGTGTCTTTCCAAAGTATGTTAATATAGAATCAGAGATAAAAGTCTGCCAACACAGAGCTCAGCCAAACGAGGCCAATTGAAAACTACCAGTTCCCAGTGTCCATTTTTTTAAAAGCACGTAGCAAACGTAGTTTAAAATGTCCGAGGGTTGCGTTGTTTCGTTGCTAGGCAAAAGCCTTAGGGCTTGCAAGTTGAAATCCTGAATTGATGTAGTGGCAAGTAGCTCAGAGTTTCTGGAGAAGATGACTTGTCACACGTGAGATTGTTACTGTCCAAGTGTGAAGCTGTGAATAAAGTTGAGGTGAGTAATCTGAAACCAGCAGATGGAGAGCGGAGAGATGCTGGGTGGAGCTGCGGGCCGAAGGCAGAGGACACGCCTCTGGTAACGGCACTCCTTTGTCTTGTAGGCGGCACCATTGAGATACCAGGACAGCTAAGAGTGGAAGCGGAGGTTTCCCCTGTACAAGCAGAGGGACGGGATGCCATCACAGCCAGGCATGAGGGGGAGGGGCCTTGTTCACCCAGCCACACCCATGTTCAGAGAACTGACACGCCCACTACATCGGTAACTGAAATGCCAGCTGGACGGGCTGGTAACGAGGAGATCCTGCGCGGGGTGGCAGAGCAGGAGGGTTTCCTTGGTGACCTACTCGCGGGCGGCCGCTCGCAGCAGCATGAGGTGAAGGGACAGGTGCTCCTCCAAGGTGGAGCTCTCTCAGCGAATCTGGCAACCGCAAATCACGCCCCCGAGGCAGGCAGCCAGGTGGACGGAACGGGAGAACAGCGGACCTCACAGGGTCACGACGGGCCCTTGGAAGCCGGAGAGGACGCTATGGTGATTAATGGGATCAGTGACAAATTGGCTAGTGAGACAGCTTCCCCTGTGGTCATAAAGACGGACCAGCCTGTGCCAAAGGAACAGGAAGAGGAGGCGGAGGCTGCAGAGGAACAAGCTGAGGTAGAGGATAGTGAAGAGCAGGAGGAAGAAAAAGTGACAGATGGCGAGGCTTTAGAGGAGGCCGGGGAAGACGGCCAGGAGGAGAACGGACTCGAAGACGACATGGAGCAGGCAGAGGCTGGACAGGACTCCCTGGACGACCTGGCGAAGCGCATACAGGTGGAGGAGGTGAGGAGGCCTACTGCCTCATTCATGTTCTCCGCCTTTATCATAGCACAGGCTGAAGCTTTTAGCGTGACTTTATAGTACCGCTGCTGCCGCGGAGAACATTCATGTATCGTTTGCGTCTCTGATTACACTGACATTCTGTAGCCTATAACACTGTGTGTTTTTCATTGTGACTGGTTGGAAGGTTTTTATGCATTATTTACTAAGTCTAGGTTAAAATTACCCATGACCGGCTTGTTCTTAACTTGGGTTATGTTTAACTAATTTAACACTGTTTTGTTCTTTCTCCCAAGCTAAGGTGGTTCTCTCTGTGCATCCCATCTGCACTGCATGCTTTGACTCTAGCCTAGTCTAGTCCAGGATACAGTTGAGCTTCCTGCGGCACAAATACGCAGTGGCAATTAATCAACTGCCATTCGTTTGTGCACACATTCACCACTGTGCAGCAAGAGGTCACTGTACTGTATGTTTAAGATCAGAAACGGTCTTCTAATTGGTGTGAATTTATTTGATACAGAACCCCCTCACTTAACAACCAGGTTCCATTCCTAGGGTCATTAAGTCATTAAGAGAATTGGTCAATATACGAGGAGCCGGTCTTTACCTCTATTTCAAGCATATTGTACTGGTAGTGGGTTTGTGTCAACCATCTTCAGATATTGTTTTAATGTCACCTTTGCACCATTTATAATAGTTTTATTATGCTTTGTAAGCTTTGTCATTTTCTTTGTTTCATAGCACCATGAAAGTTAATTCATCTGCCATTCCACTTTCGTGAGCCATTCAACATTCAGGTTCATACCCTCTAGGTCTAATGCAGCTGCATGCACTTTCTTGTACTATGTGCTGCACATTAAAGTACTAATTTCTAGATGAATTATGTAGTCTTGAAGTTTTCGAACGCTGGCGAGTGGGTGGCGTGTGGCTCGGCGGGCTAAGTCTCTGTACCTGTGACTGAGAGGTTGCCGGTTCACGCCTGGCCTCAGCGCATTTGTAGGTACCTGGGCATGGTCCATAACCCTGCAATTCATGGAGAGCAAGATGGGGGAGGTGAAAAGAGAATTTCTCCATGGTCATCAATAATAGTGTCATAATAGTGTAGTGCATATTGGTCGATTGTGGGAACAAGACTGTGAGATGAGGTGCCGTGCTGCTATTTCCGTGACCAAAGTTCTCGTACAGCATTCAATTTTGACTGGTCGGAGAGATGGTCTTAAGTCCAAATGGTCGTTACACAGCTAGATCGTTAAGTGAAGAGTGCCTGTATTTAATCAATGCCAAAATTTTTTATGCTGTGACAATGTCCAGTGATAGCCCATTTTAGTGTAACGTATCGGGAGCAAAGGAGAATTTAATATTTCATTAAATGGGAGAATATGGTTACTAATTTGATTATTGGAAATGTGAGTGAAGAGTTTAAACTGTTTAAGGTGACCGATTGTGACTATATCTGTGTGTAGATGAAGCTCTGGGAAAAGACATACAGCTTGGAAAAAGGTTTCTGGCTCATTTGACTGAGGATGTGTTATCTGTGTGCAAAAAAACATGATTTAATCAGCACCTCCACAGTGCATCTGGTCAGAGTAGTTATCAGCTAGACTATGGTATGTGTTTTTGTGTGTTGTCAACATAGCGTAAGGATTAGGTTCAGCTCGCCATGCTGTGTGCTTGGTGGCCCATTGTTACCAGAACCATACTACTACCATCATGCTCCACCCATGGATTAGATTGCTTTGGTCTTTTATCCTTGTATCGGTTAGTTTAACCCTTGCGTGCGTTGCTGCATTATCACTGTACCGGAGTGTCTTGCTCCTGATTGGTCGATAGCAGAATTGCCCTCCAGGTTTGTGACGCAGTGATTGGCTGGCTGTGTTTATTACCCATTAGTGAGCCTGAACAAACATGTGTCTTAAAAGGTTTGAAGAGGAATCTTGCTCTGTTAGAGAAGCAATCTGTTGCTACCTATAGGGAAGAATCAGCCTTGTTTACATTAAAACAAACTAAAAGACCATGAAGGAGTTTACTTGAAGCTAGGTGCTGAATGGTGCTACCTCAGTGAGGCACCTGTATGTTCCCTCCTAGCAAAGGGACTAAACTTGCTCCAGGATTGAACATATTGTGTGTAGCTGTCCGGGGTAGATTGAGTTTGTGGGAGTCTTATGTTATTCACTTACTTATGTAGAAGGAGACAGAGATGGAGAGTCTGATTCTGGTTTCTACTGGCTTGGGAGGAGTGAGCAGCAAAGCCAGTGTTCTGTAATTCTGCATCTGCTCTGTATCTGAATTCTGTGTGTTTCTTCTTTTTTTCTTGAAAATCCACGAGCCACAAAAAAGCATTGTGTGTTTAACCGAGGAACCACTGAAGCAGCGAGGGGTTTTCATGAGCGTCACAAGCAGAGCCTGCGTTCGTTTTCACAAAACATTGTATTTAACTTTGATATTTAATATAATAAGCTTTACTGTAGTCCGTTCAAACATATGAGTTGTCGGTCAGTCAGCTGTTCACCTGGTGACTGCTTGTGTTCAACAAAATACTGTGCTCTACATTGACATCAAGTGGTCATAGTCTGTCATTGCGGGTATTTTATGCATGTACTTGCAAATCACGTTCATTCTCTAGTGCAGGGGTGGCCAATCATATCCGCAAAGGGCCGGTGTGTATGCAGGTTTTCGCTGCAATTCCCTAATTAGATTACTAATTAGAGGACTGATTGGCTGAAGAGTCCTCACACCTGGGTTTGAACAGCTGACCTACAGGTTATACCAAAAATCTGCATACACACCGGCCCTTTGCGGATAAGATTGGCCACCCCTGCTCTAGTGCTTTTAAATGTCTTTGATGTAGTTAAAGGAAGGGTGCACAACTAACTTAAACATATTTTAAATCTGTTAATCTGTATTTCACGCTCTTAGCTGTTATCTTAACAAACCACAGTACAACAGGTTGCTTTCACCATCAGCTTGCTGGTAGCTCTGCTCATTTCCAGCAGCTAACATTCAGATGTTCTTGTCCTTTCCTGTTCTCCACTTTCTCTCTCTGGGTCCTTAGATGGCTCCTGTGGATGGTCTGGTGTCCATACTGAAGAGGAGCCCTTCCCAGGATGGAGGAATGAGCCAGGAAGCTGCAGACACTAAACAGACGTCCAAACGCAGAGTCCGCTTCAGGGAGCCGGATGATGAACTCGATCAAGGTAGGAGTTAGGTCTGTGCTTTGGAGGAGGAAGGTGGATTTCGTGGTGCATGACCTTTGCATGTGCTGGTCATATTTGGGGTGTCAGGTGTCTGAGAATTCATACTGATTTTCAGTTTTATTTATGCTTGAGTGATGCCAAAGTTTTATGCATTCAAACGACATTATGACATGTTATTTGTTCAGACTTTTTAATGTTAAACCAAACAAAACCAGTAACATTTTAAAGTTGATTGCTTAACATTCTTATCAGAATTTCCCATTTGGAATCAATAAAACAAATGGGCAGATACTGTGCTCATAGAAAGTCTTGGGACACTTGCTGATTGATTCAGTAAAAATAGTGCAAATTTACTGGTTTTATATCCCAAAGATTGTTACTTTACTCATTTGTTTACAAAAAAGTTCAAGTAAAAGATTAATTTTAAATGTCTGTGTGGAAGATATGTGCAAATATGTTAAACATTACTTGTCAATCAATTTTTGTTATGAAACCAATAAATCTGCGACATTTTTACAGAACTAAGCAAACATTCCAAGACTTTCTGTGAGCACTATATACACTACAGTTCAAAATGTTGGAGTCACTGACAGTTTTCCTTGCTTTTGAAAGAAAATCAGTTTTTCTCATTTAAATGACATTGACTTGATCAGAAATATAGTATAGATATTGTTAATGAATATTTGAGCTAGAAACTTTTGATTTCTAATGAAATTTCTATATAGATGTACAAAGGGACATTTTTGGCAACCATCACTCTTGTCCTCCAATGTCACAACAAGTTGGCTGTTCCTAAGTTATAATGTTAATAGTTTCATTCATCATTTCAGAACCCTTGTGCAATTGCAGACAGGCACTAACGAGGACAGACAGAGAACTGGGAGGCCCCATTGCACAACTGTGCAGAAAGATATAAACAGAGAAAGAGACTCAGTACAGGTCCAAAGCGGACAGCTTTATTAAACAGTTTCAGCAGAACACCAGTCACATCTTCACCAGTGAAAGGGTGACTCTAGGATGGTGAACTTTTAGGCATAGTTTCAAAGAAAAAGCCGTATCTGACACTGGCAAATACAGAGGCACCACTTTACAATAAGGCTCCCATTTGCCACCTGTAAATGGTCATTAATAAAAAGAAAACTGTGTTATATCATGTTTACAATTGTCTTTTAATAACTTACAAAGTGTCCAGATTATAAACCATTCATAAACTCTTTATATGGGTAGTCTTATTGTAAAGTGGGACCTAAACGGAAAAGATTAAAATGGGCAAAGGTATACAGACATTGGATGGAGGAAAAGCAGTAACTGGATTTCGACCCCGTTGAGCTGTAGTGGGAACAGCTTGACTGAATGGTACTAAAGAAATGCCCATCAAGCCAATCCAACTGGTGGGAGGTGCTTCTGGAAGCACGGGGTGAATTCTCTGCAGATCATGTCAACAACCTGACAGGCAGAATGACAAAGGTCTCTAAGGCTGTGGTTGCTGCAAATGGAGGATTCTTTGATTAAAGCAGAGTTTGCAGCACAAAATCATTTCAAGTAGAATGACTAACCTTGTCAATGTCTTGCCTATATTTTCAACTCATTTTGCAATTATTTGATGATTAAAAATTGAGTTCTCATGGATGTGAAATTTTCTGAGCGATTCCAAACTTTTGAACTGTAGTGAATGTATAGATTTTATAGGTTTTATTCAAGCAACAGCATAGTACATTTAATGAAGAATTCAATCAAAATAGAAGTCAAATGGTCCAAAAACCAACAGACACAGGGGGGCAGGAGTGCAAATCTGAAGTGTACTGTAACATCTCTCTCTTCTCGTGGGTTTGACTCCATTTGCAGATGAGGTGGGCGGAGCCTCTTTCCTGGTCCTCCTTGTCCTGTGCCTGGCCACCGTGGTAGTCAGCATAGGTGGAACAGCACTCTACTGCGCTGTTGCCGACGTGACATCCAGCGTGTGCGCGGACTTCTCCCATAATGTGGACTTCTACATAGGGCACATGCAGCGAGGCCTGGAGCTCATAAAACACTGGCTGTGCCCCAGCTCCTAGTAAGACAGCAGAAAGATCTACTATTCCTTGTGTGTGTGTGTGTGTGTGTGTGTGTGTACGTGCGTGCGTGCGTGCGTTCGTGCGTGGCTGATAAAGAACAGTGCACCACAGCAGTAAACACGGACCAACTGAAGCCTACACTGTGCCTGAAGAATACGGACTCTCCTAACTCTACATTTTAGTCAAGGGGCAGATAGGATCTGCATCCATAATCTCCAAAGGATCTCCCCAGGGCTTTGGACCAGAGTGGCTGGTAAATCCTGTTTTTCAACCTGAACCACTAATGAAGGACAGCAATCCTCCAAGAGATGGAGCCAAAAGCAAAGACCCACTGCTGACCCCGGCCCCCGGCCCAGAGAGTGATTGTAGCATTGCCGTTTTTAGCTGTCCTTGTTTCGCAGAACTACAAGAAAACCCCACAGGACATTTTGTACTTTTAAGATGCTGAAAGTCCGAACTTCATAATCACTATGTCTGGAATGAAAGCTAAAGAGGTGTTTTAAAAAATATAAGCAATCAAAAAAGACAAAGGTAGGATTAAATGTAGCCTGGAAGTTGTGCTTCCCTATTTTTTATTTTATTTTACGAGAAACGTGTGTGGTGAGGATCACGCTGTAGGGACAGGAAAGCAATATGTGAATCCTGCTGTGGTACAGATAGCACCTTTGCTGCAAAGCTGCAGACATGTTCTGCACTTAATGGACTCATTACAGATCTGCTTTAGGGTTATTACCTATTTTATTTTATTTATTTACTGGCCTTTTATTATTTTTGGCTATCACCCCGTTCCTAGCCAATTCATTTGAGTCAGATTTTGAGGTTATTTTTGGTGTGTTTTAATTTTTTTGTTTCCAGTTATATTCTTCATTTTTTAGTTCTGATTCAGAGTCCATTTTCCACCACTGTAAATGTGATCAAGATGTATTGATGTTGCATGTTGCACATAACCTAGGATTGAATCTGAAACCAAACTTGTTGCAAAACCTGGATGCCACAGGAAGATAATGTATATGTGTCTCATTACTGTTATAAGTCTTCTGGCTGGATCAGAAGGTGCCCTTCATGTTTGTGTGTGTGTCAAAGTATTTATTTCATGTACTATCCAGGAAACTGAATAGGAGAATGTAAATGCTTTGTTATTTGTTGGGTATGCAGAGACCGATCAGCACGGGTCTTAAATTTAACCCATTGTGTATGTACCATGTGCTTCTCAAGTTCTTTATGGGAAATTTTTATGGTTTCATTATGATCAAATCATTTTAATAGAGGTGACATGGAATCACAATAACGAGGTCTTCAGGGGAGTTTCCCATTGTGCCCCTAAGATGACGACTTATCCAAATACATATCCATGTGTTATTGCTCAGTTTAGACTCTTGAATTATAATGTCCTTGTCCAATTTTGTGGAAAATGTGGTGAATGCAATGAAAATGGTTGAAAATATAGTACAGCAATCAGAAGTTATGAGTTTGTATTTGGCTACAAATACGTTTAAACACACATTCTCAAATGAAATTGTCTGAAAGTGTTTGTCTTAAAGTATTATTTATGATTGTTTTTGAAATGTTCTTTCTTATTTTAGCTCTAAAAAAAAATGGTATAATTGCCCAGATGTCAAAATATGTAGTTTTGTTTCTATTGTAATCTGGAAAAAAAATATAGTGGGACATTATGTGGATGTTTTCTTTTGTTTCTCCCATTAGTTTGTTCACTTTCACCATAAACAGTCAGGGTACCACAGCATACTTGCACCCAGAAATCCAGAACACTGAGTACCTGGTACAAGTGTGTTGGGTTCTGGGAGGGAGTCTCTAGGTCCCTAAGGACTAGGTTAAGAAACACTGGTACAGAAAGTCCTCTACAAACGAACCTTCAAGATATGAATGTGCATGTCCAATAAATTAAAAATTGTTTAAATAATTGCAAAATTAAAAATTGTGCCGGAATTTCAAATTTTGCAACAGTGTGTAAGTTAGTTCCTAACGCTGATGCTTGTTTTTGATAGGAGTTGAGGATTGGGGGAGGAGAGAGAGGTAGGTGTGAATGAGTATTCTTGATAGGAGTTGAGGATTGGGGGAGGAGAGAGAGGTAGGTGTGAATGAGTATTCTTGATAGGAGTTGAGGATTGGGGGAGGAGAGAGAGGTAGGTGTGAATGAGTATTCTTGATAGGAGTTGA